GTTCAAATTAATGGAAGTACAAATAACCTTTGATCAATTGATCCAGATTGGATTGAAAATAAAATCATTCAAATTTTATTTATATCTTCATCTTCGTACAAACCTATTTTTGTACCCCCCACTCCCCTACAATGGCTGCGCATGTTAAATCCACCAAGAAGAATACGTAGGATCAAAATGATCACGGATTCAAACAAAATGACTCTAGTAATAGACTTAGTTAGATCTTATCTAAAGCAGACCAACAATAAGCATCCAATTTAATGTTTATTTGTTAGTCAAACGCAAGTTTAAATTGAGCTCTCTCAATATATGCGAGAGAAACATGACGTTTCACTAAAACTAATCGCTTATTCTTCTCTCTCGTCCCGACAGATCAGTCGTTCTATAGAGATTATTGTCATTGTCAGTGTGTCTGTAAATCAGTATAATCTAGGGTATAGGATAAATATCTCAATAACACCTAACACACCTTTGTTTTTTTCCTCAGGGCATGTTTTTTTTTCTAGATGGCTGTACTTCACTGACCACTATTATTAAAGACCAAATATACATGGGGTCACGGTGGCTAATTGGGTAAGACGCTGGCTCGCTAGCCTGGAGGTCGGGTGTTCGATCCCTGCATTGGCCGAGAAAGTTCATCTAGATTTTCCGGCGTGGTTCCCCCTTATCAGTGACGCAGGACGAAGGGTCTGACATGGCAGCTCGCTAGTCGTTCGGATGGTATGAAAAACCGAGGTCACGTGTACATATTGGCGTGAACGTAAAGGATCCCCTGGCGGGAATTCGGTATAATTCCCCTCATAGCACACTGTATAACGTATGCCCGTCTCCATTAGCCCATGTTAAACCCGTGTACACATTGGCGTGAACGTAAAGGAACCCTTGACAGGGAATTCGATATAAGAGTAAGCCGTAGTGCCGTTGTCCGGGCAAAATTTCCCTCATAGCACACTGTATGACGTATGCCAGTCTTCATTAGCCCAGTTCGGAGCAGAACAGTAGGACGTTAAACCCCCATTTCATTTCCAAATATACACACTATGTGTTTGAATTAACGCGATGTGTTGTGGTGAAACGAAATCTACAACGTTTTATGAATTTTTTTTAAATGGTACAACCAATAGCCCCCCCCCCCCCGCCCCCACCCCCGCCTACTACCACGACCGGCAAAAAAAATTATAATTTGGAAAATTCGACGGCCACAAACGCGTTTTCCTTCTATTCCAGTCCATGAATACAGCAACTTCAGAGTGGTCTAATATCGCCTAATTCAGGTGTCTTGACTCGCATTCCAATCAACCTACCAATCATTTACAGTCGACGAAGACGGTACCGACGGGAGAAAATTTAACGCGGATTCCTGCTATTCCAGCTCGTGAATACAGCAATTTCAATATGGTCCAATATAGCCTACCTTATGTGGCTGACCTGAATCCCGAAAAACCAATCAATTGTCGCGGGGTTTCGAGGCTTGCCCATCCCGGAGAAAATTTTGAAAAAATAACCCCCGCCAATGCGATTTTCTGCTATTCTAGCCGGTGAGTTAAGCAACTTCAAAGTTGTCCAATTGTTTTGTAACCGAAATTCCATATGCTGCAGATGCATTCACAAATATTAAAACATAGATATGACGTCTCCCTTTGATGTTTTTAACCAGTATAGGAGAATGTACGCTTTTCTATTATTAATAAAACTGTCCATTATGTATTGAAAATAATGGACAGGTTTACCAATAATAGACACTTATCTGAAAAATGAACATGTGTTTTGGGATAATTTATTCTCTGAATGAATTAAATTACAGTACATGAAATTACTTTAAAACCTAATAGTTACCAAAATGTCACATGACCGAATGTATCCCAAATAACTCAAACCATCGACTCAAACACCCCAGTTTGGTCTTATTAATGCTTCCACTTTCAAACGAATTCTTGTTGTTTAGCTGACGGTGCCCTAATCCTATAGAGTGACTATATACATACATCAATGATAGCATCTTGTGGAATCGGTGGCGTATACACTCATGCCCACCACCGACACGCATGAGTGCATCTTGATGTAGCATTGTGTGGACAGTACACAGTACAAGTTACAAGGCTTAAATAGTGAAGTGGCTAGGGAATAGATTCGTCTTTTCCCCATCATAATGCCTTGCTCGCCTTGACAATTTTCGAGTCGCATGTTCAACTGGCTTTTTTGCTCGATTTTAAGGCTCTTTTTCAACGATTTCCGAACGTTTACTTAGACGAAAATATCAGCCAAATAGCTCTTGGAATGGCTACAGATGCAAGGAAATGACGGATAATTTTCTTTGGGGAACCCATCCACCAAAAACCCCCCTCTCAGCGGCGTGCCCCATCTCCGCGGTCAGTGCCCTCATTTCGCGGCACCCCCGCTCCTTTTTCAAAATTCCTAGATCCGCCCCTGGTTATATGTCACTTGTCCGTTTAATAGTACGTTCGGCACTAGATCGATGGTACGTTTTTATACGCCCACATTTTCACACCTTCTTTGTGGACACTCTACACGTCATAACTTGAAATATAGGTATATATCCCAAAGATCTTGGTTCCTTTCGATATTGGCTTGTATAGGACGTAAATTGTACACACAAGAGGTCACAATTTTTAGCCCATTTTGACGAAACTGGACATGTGTGTTTATAACCCGATTCCTTGCGATATTGGCAAAAAAAACTTCCTGGATTGAACTAAAAAAATTTTTTTGATCCTGTGGAACCTATACAGGTCACAATTTTTATCCGATTTTAAAAATCGTTCAAATATATCATTGTTACACCATAATGACAGTTGAGTTCGAATTTCCTGAATTGGTTTGTGCCTTTGATCCTGTGTCCTGTCACTTATATCAGAGTATATATTAAATTTAAAATCAAAATTTGGACGGCTAGTACCCTCCACAGTACTAAGAATATTATTAATATCTAAATCATTTTCGTGAGCAGCCTTTCCATCACACTTTGACAGCTATTATCCCCCATATCAAGAACATCACAATTTTTACGGCTATTATCTTCCATATTGAGTACATTACCAAATGTAATCCGTATCCAAATGCTTATCACGTATATTCTCATTATTAATATTTGTTTTCGACTGGGTTATAAACATGTCGTCTCCATGTCGAATATTTTGGACTGTCTGTGTATGCTTGCATTGTACGACTGGAGTGTTTTGTCACATTCATGAGCATGTGTATGTTGTTTTAAGAATATATCCATTATTTTCTGACTTGTTCTTTTAGAAATCTATCCATTATTTGTATCTCTATATTTCTATGTTTTAAGTTTGATTATAGCCGAAGACTGTCCATTATGTAAATAGAAAGAAAAACTTCGGGGCCAGGGGCGGATCTAGGAATTTTCCTTGCATCTGTAGCCATTCCAAGAGCTATTTCCCAGACTGGTGTGTTTGAGTCGATGGTTTGAGTCATTTGGGATCCCTGAGAAAAGGCACTTTCAGCAGTAAAAAAGGGCACTGTCGAAAATTAGGGGGGGGGGGGGGGGCGCCCCTCGCGCCCCTCATTGAATCCGCCTCGGGGGGCTAACGCCCCTCAGTTATTCTTTCTATTTACATAATGGACAGTCTTCGGCCATTATCCATCACATAATCGTTGCCCGAAAAATGTCGTACAAAGTAGAGTCGCTCCCGGCTAAATGTTTTAATCCATGGTATTAGTATTTTATTAGATTTCGGGCACATTTTATTTTGCCAACTAGATGATATTTTGCCAACAAGATGAAATAATACACCTATGACCATAAATAGCACCATTAAAGCTGGTTATTATCAAGGTTTTGGTCTTTTTTGAATTTAGAAGTTCAACCGTTTGGTTTCGTGTAGTGAACCTAAACAAACTTGTACAACTGCTGGTATTTGAGCACTGTATCCGTTCATGAAATATTTGAATTAACAATAAGCAATCTATGACACTTAATACATGTACGTCTATACTTCAAATACTTCAACATGGTTCCGGTAATATAAGTATTATTATGATTTCATCATTCATTTTTACATCGAATTTGTCGACGGATTTGGTATTTAGGAAGGTCAAACTTTCTTGGAAATATAACCGATATACAGAAGCCGGCAACTACTCAAGTCTATTTGTGCCATTTGCTTATAGACCTAAGATTTTCCACGAAAACATTTTGGCATCCAACAAAACAAGCCAACATATAAAAACTAGTAAAATCAAAAATTTTATTTTTGACCCAGCCCAGAGCTCTAGCCAGTCTGGAAACATATCTGAACTACAGATACTTTACGAGTGGCATACATTATGGTCAATAAATTTAATAGCCCTGTTGGACTAGGGGACAAAGTCCAAAAATAGTTCTTATTGGTTTTAGATAATTTGATTTAAATGGTTTTGGATAGCGAACCTGAAACATAGCCATCTAGGATATCTTTACCCACCGGATGTCCGGGTTTACGGTATATCCTATTTTTACCGTAATGGGGTTAATACAAATATATAAAATCATTTTAATTTAGAGTACTTATGGACTGATTCAGCATTCACAAATGACATAACATTTGAGGGGAGCTCTCCAACTGTCAGGGTCCCCAAATCCCTTGCCTTTAACAGGTTTTAATAACAATACACTAACCTCAATAACTAATTGACAATTAACCGACTGCTCCTCATCAATAATGCAGCGAACCAGTGTCGCTGTATTTTTTTATTTATTTATGTATTTATCTACCGTAAACATAGAAGTACCTGTTCTTTATCTACTTTATACAACATGCTGGTTTACTGTCAAATGCCATAAACATGTTGATTTATTGCAGGAGTTGAATTGAGGATATAATATTGTGTCATTTGAGAACAAAAGATGATAAATTGTCACATACCGGTACTCTTATTCATATTCCTGACCCCATACACAAAAACACAACACACTGTGGCTAACATTCTGTGCTTAGGAACAATAAATTAATCAAAATAAAGAAAACCCAAGTAAATAGAAGGGAGATTTTTTATTGTCAATTAATTTGACATATTTATAAAAAGATTTTTTAACAATTTATAAAATATACGTGGAAAGGATCCCTCCGATATAAATGTTAGTTTGTGTGGCAAGCAAAAAATCTCTACACCTATAATAACTAATACTAAAATATATTACCCTTCTTGACAAAACCAAACCCTTTTCCCAATTAGATTAAAATCAGACATTTTTCAATTCATTTTCTTTCCTATATTAAATTTTAACCGACTCAATTTTACTTATCAATGCGTGGTGTTCATATTTGTGTACTGTAACCTGCCAATAAAAGCTTGGCTGTTCCAAGAACACCAAGATATTTAACCTTATATGGACATGGTAGTCCTTCTGAATATCTTAAATCTCATGAAGTGTGAAAAATCAATCACTAATTTCAATTACTGAATACTTTTAGGAGAATAGCAAAATAACAGACAAATATGATAACATTAAATATGCTGAACAAAATTAATGTCCAAACATTTCATGGGTTTTGGTTTTGTCAAGATGGTGAAGGATGATTCTATGACAATCTATCAATGTACATTAACATCTTATTCTTAAGTTAATCACTTGATAATCCAAACTTTTTACAATTATATAATATACAAATTCTATGATTTATATAATTTAATTTAATCTAATTTCAAATAACGACAGTTTTATTTTTACAGAAATCAAAATAATTGAATCTGAATAAGATTAGATTTTGAATTTCCAAAAAATCTAAAAACATTTCAATATATAACTGTTTAATTATAGTTTACGAATGTCAAAAATGTATAAAATTTAAAAATCAGTTGACTGAACTGGACTCCCAGTATCCCTGTTCCTGAATGACAAAAACTAGGATCAGACTAGCCCTAAGCTGTGTTCGAGTATTTCCACTGGTGAGATTCCTGTTATCGTTAGCCCTACGGGAACCATCAAATGTCAGACTTATGGTTTGCTTGATGCCTGGCTTATCCAGATTTATTTGGTTTAGTAATGAGATATTACAGTGGAAATACAAGGTCTGTCACGGATGGGTTCAACCCAGCATCTTCAGTTGTAACAGCATTATTAATGTACATCTTATTATTTTACTAATGGAATGCAACTAAAAGCTAACTCATAATGAAATCGATTAAAAACATTTCAAAAATATACTTTCCTTTTCATATCTTATGTAACACCACTCTATAGTCACATGGACAAATCCATATTACTTGAAATCTCAAGCAAAGAGGATAGCATTACCATATTCAAGAGGGGTGTTCATACACAAAACATACAGCACTTAAAATTTATGGAATGAGCCTAATTATTAAATTGATGGAATGGTTATTTTTTTCTTTCAAAATATAAAAAATTCTACCTTTCAATTCTAAATACGTGTTCAAGTTAATCATTACAAACAAAAATTAATAGACAAACTTTATCAGAATTAGTATGGGTGGCTTCTTATGAAATATTCACAGAAGCCATATCTGAAGTTATCCGACGCCTAATGATTTTGAATAACATCAAGATTTCATAAGTTGGTATTTTAATTAAAATAAGATTACAAATTCTATGATTAAACTTTATATTACTAAAATTCAAAGAGATTTCATTACTTTGAATGACAAAGATTTTTCCAAATCTCAAAATTTCTAAATGGAGATTTTTCTAAATCACAAAATTTCTAATTTCACTTCAAATACAACAAGGAATGTCGAAATGATTAAATTTAATACATGTATAAAAATCATGATGAAATGAAATTCACAAAAAAAACTAAGCGTAAATAGAATCTATATGTATATATATATATATATATAAGAATTAAAAAGACGAAAAATTACTACAAGACTAACACCTTTCGCACGTGTATATAAAAAAAAACAACCAGCGGCTGCCAGGCAGGATACGCCCACATTTTCGAGGGATGGATAGAGAACAAGCTAAGAAGAAAGTGATTTATCCTACAATCAAGGGCCATAATTCAGGAAATTACAATTCGATAGGCGCAAATATCGAAAGGAACCGAGATCTTTGTGTTATAAACTTACGTTTCAAGTTTCAATAAAATCGGATAAAAATTGTGACCTCTATAGGGTCCAAAACCTTGATATACCATATTTTTACGCTATTTGAGAACGAACGGCGGCCATTTTGTCTGTCAATTTTGGGCCGATTTTCACGAAATTCGAACTCAGCCGTCCTTAGGGTGTAACGGTGATATAATATTACGTTTTTTTAAATCGGATAAAAATTATGACCTCTATAGGGTCCACAAGCTTAAAACCCGATTTTTCGTACAATCAGGGGCCATAATTTAGGAAGTTACGGTCTGATATGTGCAAATATCGAAAGGAACAGAGATATTTGGGTTATAAACTTACATTTCAAGTTTCAACAAAATCGGATAAAAATTGTGACCTCTATAGGGTCCACAACCTTGATATACCATATTTTTACGCTATTTGAGAACGAATGGCGGCCATTTTGTCTGTCAATTTTAGGCCGATTTTCACGAAATTCGAACTCAGCAATCCTTAGGGTGTAATGGTGATATAATAATACGGTCTTTTAAATCAGATAAAAAATTATGACCTCTATAGGGTCCACTAGCTAAAAACGCGATTTTTCGTACAATAAGGGGCCATTATTCAGGAAGTTACGGTCCCATATGCGCGAATATCGAAAGGAACCGAGATCTTTGGGTTATAAACTTACATTTCAAGTTTTAAAAAAATCGGATAAAAATTGTGACCTCTATAGGGTCCACAAGCTAAAAACGTGATTTTTCGTACAATCAGGGGCCATAAACCATGAAGTTTCGATCCGATACATGCCAATATCGAAAGCAGCCGAGATCTTTTGGGGATTAACATATATTTCAAGTTTCGTCAAAATCGGATAAGAATTGTGACCTGTAGAGAGTCCACAAACAATTGTGGACGGACGGACGGACAGGGGCGACGGCATAATACGTCCACATGAAAAGTAGTGTTAGGTGTTTGGAAATATGTAAGCATACTCCTGCATTACATCCGCCACTTTGTTTAAAGTTTTTGAAGAAAGTTATCTGCAAGAGAATTAACAATGATCATAGGTTATACACCAGTAGAACGTTTACAGGGGGCGGGGGAGGGGGGGGGTAAGGGACCAAAAAGAAAACAAGCGTAACAAATAAAAACAATGAGTGATAGGAGGGAGAAATGAAATGAAATGAAATGGGGTTTAACGTCCTACTGTTCTGCTCCTAACCTGGGCTAATGAAGACGGGCATACGCCATACAGTGTGCTATGAGGGAAATTTTGCTCGGGCAGCGGCGCTACGGCCTACTCTTATATCGAATTCCAACTGCCAAGGGACATTTCAATAAAAGTATGGCAATTTTGGTATATATGGAAAATAAAAATATCCAATCTTACTAGAAAAATACTGCATTCCCTTAATAACACCAATGGAACGCATACAGGACAAAAATGTAAGGGTTTCCCTAATCGGCAGTACGACAATTAGGAATGTCTGTTCGCGTCACGTGAAAGCTAAAACGCTAGCTTTGGTTATACAAAGTTGAATACCGTATAGTATGTGTGTGTTACACGAACTGACTGTAAGCTTATAAGGGCTACATTTTTTTTAATACCAAGCATTAATTGTTCAAGTTATTCCAAGATCAGGCAACGTTAGGCCCACGGAAAAAAAAATATGCATATGTGGAAACTGGCCAATTAAAAAAGAGGAAATGAAATGAAATGGGGTTTAACGTGCTACTGTTCTGCACCGCACTGGGCTAATGAAGACGGGCATACGCCATACAGTGTGCTATGAGGGAAATTTTGCCCAGACAGCAGCACTACAGCCTACTCTTATATCAAATTCCATTTGTCCCATCCAAATGACTAGACAGCTGTCCTTGTCAGACCCTCCATCCTGCATCACTGACAAGGAGGAACCACGCTGAAAAATGTGGATGAACTTTCTCAGCCAATGCAGGGATTGAACACCTGACCTCCAGGCTAGCGAGCTAGTGCCTTACCCACTTAGCCACCATGACCCCCCATTAAAGAAAGATAGGCAATGAAACATACACCCACAGTAACTAGCGGTCGACAAGAATTGTCGCATATTTATTCATTTGTAGGTAAAGGGGGACATTTACAAGACCATTTCATACAGATCAAATTATAATTTCCATCGTTTGAGGGTCCGAAAGGGTTCTACAAACTGAAACTAGGGCCTTAACTCCCAAGTACATGTAATTTACAGAAATTGTTAAAATTTGACAGGATCTTTCATCTTACTAATTTAAATAATGCAGATAAACTTCATACAGATCGGATAATAACTTTTGCTATGAGAGCATTCACAAGGATCAACAAAATAAACAAGAGCCATAACTCTTGAAGTAATAAATGGGAAATTTCATACGGATCAGACGATAACTTTTATTGTTCGAAAGTTCACAAGGTTCAACAAAGTGAAACAAGGGCCATAACTTTAGACATAATTAACAGAAATTTCTGAAATGCAAAAGGTTTCTTCATTTCACTAATTTAAATGATGCATATAAATTTCATACAGATCTGATATATGTAATAAGTTTTATCGTTTCGAAAGTTCACAAGATTCAACAAAGTAAAACAAGGGCCATAACTCTAGAAGTAATGAATAGAAATTGCTGCTAGTCAACAGGCTTCGATGTTTCACTATTTTAAAGGATGTATATAAATTTCATACAGATAGGATGATAATATTTCTTGTTAGAGCGTTAACAGGATTCTATAAAGTGAAACAAGGGCCATTACGTTTAGACATTATTAATGGAAAATGATGAAATTTAAACATACATTATGCAAGAGATAAATCTGCCAATTTCAGGTCTTTCTTTAGACCCGAAATGTTATCTAAATTATTAAATATACATTAATTAACTGATAATTCAATCGCTAAATTTTCGGTTCAGGGGTTATCAATTTGACTGAAATTTTCAGCAAATTCCCTTTACATTATCTCGTTTTAACTATTTTAGTGAGAACTGCCAGCTCTTAATCTAATCTCCCATAATGTATCTTTAAAAGGCTCTTTCGTTTCATTAATTTAAAGGATGCATACAAATTTCATACAGATTGGATGACCATTTTTGTCATTGTAGCATTCATAAGGTGCAATAACGTGAAACAATGGCCATAACGCTAGAAGAAATTAACGGAAATTATTGAAATTAAAAAGGTTTCTTCATCTTAGTGATGTAAACAACATATATCAATTTCAAAACAATCAAATGATAAATGTTGTCTGTAGGGTGTTCACAAGAAAGTGTGGACGACGGCAATTACGACCACATTTCCATGTAGGCGCATAAAAAGCTAAAACAAACTTACTTCCAACTTCTTTCAAGATAACTTGAATTGTAACATTGATTTTTTCATGTACATTATACACCATCCGTATGTACGTTCCATTAATAGTACGATAATTCTCAAACGATAAATCCTTTGTGTTGATGTATGCGTATTTAGATGTTTCATTGTAAGTAACAAAAGGTGGCTTATCATCATAAGTCTGATTGTTAAAGAACCATTTATACTGAATCGGCCATGGAGAGTTAGTCTGGGCCATAACAGTCAAATTGACGATATCACCTTTCAATATCTCCTGAACAGCTGGAGGTCTTGATGTAATCACAATGGGTTCTTAAAAAGAAAAAAAAACACCTCTATCACATTATTTTTATAGTAATCAAATGCTTGATTGCAATTCATGATAAAAATGGGCAGTGTTTGATTCAAGATACTGATAGACATCTACCATACCTGATCTGGTGTGAGTAGAATTCCAGTAAATACTTGACATTGAGTCAGGGCAATGTTTTTTTAAGTCATGATACCTGGTAAAGTATCAGTAGTAGAATCGGGATTTAATGTAACACAAGAAAGACATCATAGGGATATTTTTTTATTGACTCAGTACATGTTTTGTCTGATGAAATTCTCATATTCACTCGATTGTCAATGCTCTTAGCGTTGAAAAAACTGGATACTATCAGGTTTGCATTACCAGCTTGATATTAAAAGGCTAAAACTTACCTATGACATCCAGACATCCATCAGCAAATCGAAAACCCTCCGAGTTGGTAACTTTACACTGGAAGCATGTAGTATCATCTGGTTTTACAAGATTTGTCACCATCAATATCTGTTTATCATTACTGAACACATATTTACCACTGTCAACTAGAATTAGAAGATAAATACAGGTCAAAGGTCATGTAATATGGTCAAAATTTTGGGAAACTTGAAATAAGACTAAAATGGGTCTAAAAGCATATTAATATATATGTATTATGAGTATATATTAAGTGATTTACATTCGATATTTAAATTTTTTGTTGTAATTTCTAATCAATTATATTCCATGAAATAGGTGAACAGTCAAACTGAACGGCAGATTTTTGTGCCAGCTTAGTCCATTCCACACAGGTTTTTTTAATAATTAATTTGTCATTTATGAATCCACGATTTTATAGTAGTTCGCCGATCGTTATCTCAACGGGAAAGCAGTTTTATTCAAGTTGACAAAGTTCATGTCATATAATGATTTCTTTTTTGTACACATTAGGGGCGTCCCCTTAAATCTGTGCCTGCTGACCTATTTCTTCTAGAGTAAGGCATTTTTCAAAATTATTTGTTAAACTCCTTGAAAAAACACCAACTCTTTTTACAACAGCTTAAACATTACTATTTTATTTAACTGTATATTCAAATAAGATCCAAGTGAAAATTTCTGTTTTAACCCACCAGCCAAGACTCCCAAAGAGCTTATGGCTCTTTCATAATGCCAATACTATAGAGTGGTTGAATATGAATTTTTGCATCTTAAGAATATTTGAAACTTACATTTATCGTTTGGAATGGGGGCTCCATTTTCAAACCATTCTGGGGGTCCTGGTGGATTCTCCCTTATTACTGATTTTGCTTGACAGGTCATACTAGCATCTCTTGTTGCTGCAACCGTAATTGACGATAAGGACTTTTCCCAGATAGGACGAGCTGGAATAAATATATGAACAATGTATTGGATGTTGTGTCACTTAATCCGTTTTATACATTTATATTTTCATGCCCACACCATAGAAAACAAAAGTGTCTCCTTCCCACAACCAAGCGCTCAAACAAATATTTGAATTGAAATAATTCTTCAAGACCTTTAAGTCGCTTGTAGAAACTAATATTCCTTAAAGATAAATTATTCAAGAGCTTAATTTGCCCATTGCAGGTCTTTCTTTAGGCCTCACATGTTATATACGAGGAAATTAATGATTAAGACATTTATTAACATAATGGGTACAGGGAGCGGCCATTTTGTCAGGCAGTTTGAATCAAATTTCATGAAGCGGTGATACATTTAAACGATTTTTAAAATCGGAAAAAATTGTGAACTCTAGGGTATCCGCAAGCTAAAATCGCGATTCTTAGGTACAACCAGGAAATTACAGTCAGATATGCACGAATATCGAAAGGAACCTAGATCTTTGGGATGTAAACACGTTTTCAGTTTCATCAAAAATGTGACCACTAGAGGGTCGTCCACAACCTTGATATTACATACTTTAACATTATTTGCGTACAAAGAGTGGCCATATTGTTCGGCAGTTACTACCCGATTCGAAATTGGCCGTCATTATGGTGTAACGGTGATATATTCAAACGTTTTTTAAATTGAATAAAAATTGTGAACGCAGGGGCTATAATCCAGGAAGTTACGGTCCGATAAACTGGATAAAAATTTTGACATCAAGAGTGTCCACAAGCTAAAAACGTGATTTATTGTACAATCAGGGACCATAATAAAGTCATGGTCCATAACATGCCAATATCAAAAGGAACCAAGATCTTTTGGCAATAAACCTATATTTCAAGTTGTGTCAAAATCGGTTACAAATTGTGATCTATAGAGTGTCCACAAAGAAATTGTGGAAGGACGGACAGGGGCATCGACAATATACATCCACATGAAAATGTGAGCATATAAAAAAGGTTGCAGAAACTGTCCTAAAGAGTTTTTTTTAAAAGAAACTGTTTAGAAACCGAAGTTCTGTAATTGTTACTTACATGTGACATTAAGAGCTGTTGTTGCTGTATTTGTTTGAGTATTTGCACCTTCACAAGTGAAAGTTCCTTCGTCTGACTCCTGGATATTTTTAACTCGTAAAACTTGTCGTGAAGTGTCGATAAATTCATATTTATCAGAGTTACTTGTAATTGCTTGTAACTCATTGTTTTTCCACGATATAGATGGTATCGGCCTGGAAAACATTTTTCGAGACTTCTGATTAAATCATCTACAAATCTTTTCAAAAACATAAATTTTCAGGGTCCAAAACATTAATATTGTTTAAGTCATGTGTTTAGATCATGAGAACATGAAAAGGGGCTATGAAAAATAGCAGAGGTCACCACACCTACCATAAAAATATCATGGAATTTAACAAAAACAATAAATATCGTCAAATAATGAAAATTAACAGGGGCCATCAAAGCTAACAGGGGCCATTTAACATGTCAAAGATAACAAGAAATGAAACGAAACGAAACAGGATTTAACGTCCTTCTGTTCTGCTATGACTAGGCTAATCAAAACAGGCAAACGCCATACAGTGTGCTATGACGGAAATTTTGCCCAGTGTTACGGCATACTCTTATATTGAATTACAACTGGAAATCTTTTATGTGCACTCCCATGTGTACACGGGACCTCAGTTTTTCATCCCACCAGAACGACTAGACAGATGTCTTTGTCAAGCCCTACACCCTGCACCAATGACAAGTGGACACCATGCCAGAAAATTTTCATAAATTTCCTCGGCGACCTTTAGGTTAGTGAGCAAGCGTCTTACCCACTTAGCCAACGTGGCTCCCGAAAGATAACACAGGTCATAAAGTGACATCAAATCATCAAAGATAACAGGGGCCAATAACATGACATCACAATGTGATATCAAATCATCCAAGATAGCAAGGGCCATAATGTGACATCAAATCAAAGATAACAGGGGCCAAAATATGACCTTAGATCATGAAAAATAGCAGGGACCATAATGTGACATCAAATCATGAAGAATAACTTTGTACTTACTTGCCACCAAAGATACATTGTATGTCAACATAATGTCCAATAAGAGCTTTCTGGTTTGGTTTGCTATATAACACACTGGGTGCTCTATCTGGAATTGCTGGAACACAGAATACAAATAAAAACCTTTAAAAGATTTGTTTCTTCAAGCAAAATTAGGTCATCTGTTTTGTAGATAATAACAAAGTTTCTCCTAACATATCCTTTGGCAACCTACCTAGATTATGAAATTGGGGTGTAACAGTTATATATTTAAATGCTTGGGTTTTTTTTAAAATTGAATAGAAATTGTGACTTCTAGAGGGACCACAATCTAAAAACATGACACAGTCAGATACGTGCGGATATCAAAAAGGAACCAAACATACATTTCAAGTTTGTTCAAAATCGGATAAAAATTGTGACCTGTAGAGTTTCCATAAAGAAATTGAGGACGGATGGACAGACAGAGGGGATGACATTACACGTATATATACGTCCACATGGAAGTGTGGAGGTATAAAAAGAAACCATTTTCCATTAAATCAAATTTTACTGCATAATTATCTTATTGGTGTGAAAAGTGTATTTTAAACACTTACGATTTAGTTTCGTAATCTCTAAAATCTTCCCCCTGCCTAAATTAATGGAATTAAGATGACGATTAAAAATGGCACATTGATACTTTAATCCACTTAAATCATCAGCTTTTGTTACATAGACGAAATGAAGAGTTCCTGAAAATATATAATAAGATAATAAATTGCAAGAAATGGTCACTATTATAATAGTCAGGTTGTTAATGATTGGGATAAATGAGACTAAGCATGCCAGCGTTACCTACACATGTTAACCCCTTTCTAGCTTATATGTAAATACAGAAATCCTTGAGTTTGTGATGTGGTCACAACAAACAGATGTTTTGTCCTGTAAAAAAGGGGAACAAGCCAACAGTGAGGCTGATGTCCCCCGCCAAAATCCCAAAATGAATAGAACACACATATTGATTAATTGCAAATTTATTTTTTTCAAAAGTTCTGAGCAATCAGACTGATTACCTATACTAAGTCTAAGCATAAAATATTCATAATCAAACCCAGTCAAGGTTTTGAAGTCAGAATGAAATTTATCTTATCCCAAAGCATCAACCAATGAAATTGCTTAGCTCTGCTTAGCTTTAGTGGGAAATGTTAATCATTGAACTTAGTCAAGACATTCGCCTACTGAACATCTACATCAAGTTTAAACATTCTACCTCAATTAAAAGCAGAGTTGTTATGTTCCAAAGTCTCGACAAATCAAATTGCTTATCGCTACTTAGCCTAAGCAGAAAGTGCTCATTATTGAACTTAGTCAAGGTATTGATATAATAAAGCTATACACCAAGTTTCATCAATCAAATTGCTTATCACTCTGCTTACCCTGAGCAGAAAATGCTCATTATCGAACTTAGTCAAGGTATTGATGTAATAAAATTATACACCAAGTTTCATCACCATCATTAAAGTTATCGTGTCCCAAAGCATCAACCAATCAAATTGCTTATCTCTGCTTACCCTAAGCCGAAAATGCTCACCTTCGAACTCCATCAAGGTATTCACCTAATAAAGACCTACACCAAGTTTGAACATTCTACCTCAATTAGGAGAGTTATTGTGTCTCAAAAAGTGTGACGGAGGACAGATGGACAGACCATTATAAAAGTCCCATAAATATAGAGAGCCAGTTGTTGTTTTTGTGGATGCATTCTGATAGTTCTGCATTTTATAAATTTATTATCAAAGCAAACGGCTAAAAATAACATTTGTTTTAAACATTTGAATCCAAAATGGCGGTCTACATGAACAGAAATAACAACTCAAAATTGGATAAAGTTAGTAGTTCATCAGACAGTTGTATGGATTGGTTGTATCGTGTAAACGCCGCTATCAACAGTTTCATAATAATCTTCGATATATCTTCTGTCTAAATCCAATCAAAATGTCCAGGCTTTTCCACAAAAGCTACATGATAATAACAGCTTGATTAGTGGACTAAGGTATGGCCTTGATAGGTATGTTAGTGAAAATAAAGGGTCACCGTCATTCAGTGGGGCTTAAAATTCACTTTCACCTACATGTAGAGTCACAGTCTGCTGACAATCCATATAGTGTATACAACATTATTTGAAGTCATGTGATGTTTCAATAAACCACAGTCCACAACATTAGTGTTATAGGGAAACTAACTGGGGAGCTTGTCTGTCAACCTGAACATTCCAAACTAATGGAATTACAATCACGGTTACAAATATCTTAGCTATGATACATGTATTAGCATAAACAAGTGGATTATAACACTGTTATCAAGGTGCTTGACGATTTTAGCGACATTTGTGACATTTGTATAAGACAGGCATAGTCAAATCAGTGTTACATGTAGCCGTAGCGTTGTCAATAATAATCTTGCTATGTAGTCCCACTTAACATCCTATATTAACATGTATACGTACCCTCTGCATCTATAGCTATTCTGTCATCCTGTACAACTTCGCTACTTTCGTCGTCACCTTTATACCATTTAAACTGCCCAGGCGGATTACATAAAGGTACATTGTCACATGTCAGCTGAACTGCTTCCCCTTCTGTTGCTTGTATCCTTGGAGTGTCCACCCAACTGTTTAGATCTGTAATAGAAGCATAAAATACAGAAACTATTCAAGTTTCAACTTCTCTCTCCTTCAATTAGAATAAAAGTTATTGTGTACAAAGCATTGACAAACAAACTTCTTATCCCTGCTTAGCCTCTGTGGAAAAAAACTCTTAATCTTCAAACTCAGCCAAGACTGTCACCTAATAATCATCTACACCAGCAAAATTAACTCTATAAAAAGTGTTTATAAGAAGAATGTCTGAATAAAAACCACTTATGCAATATAATCACCAAATATTTGTCAACTAGGTTAATTAGAATTGGTATCAGGTGTTTGATAGTTATACAGTGGACTCTGTCAAATCTGACATTGTACGGGATCGTTACAATACATGTATGTCGGATTACGTAGAGTGTCGGAATACTAAGTTTTCTTAAAACTGGAAGTATTATTATAACCTCGAAAACCGAAAATATTGTTATAATGTAGCTCCGAATCCCCAGAACGTTATTCCCGTCTATGTAGGTCGTGGAACTTTCTCGAAATCTGCTGTAAGTTGCTGCTGGCATCTAATGTCAAGTCCGTTTGGGCATGCTTTGCAGGACGATCCCACATTTTGAACATAATATTGTATAATAATTCTTCTTCATCGCAGCAATTTTTATATAATGTCACCGTATTTGACATGGGAAACTAAAATCGAATACCAAGGGCTCTCTTACAAGAGATTATAAAATTATCAAAGTAATCAACAAAGACGTACGCGAGTGAGTTTTAATCTCACCGATAATTAATTGGTGATTGCTTGTTAATCTTTTGTGGCTTCACACCCACCGATTGAAGGCCGGATTATACAATGTTGATTCCATGGAAATCGTGTGACGGGCTGATTGATGTCGTAATTCGGAATATTCAGAATAAGGATTACTCAAAGTGTTTTTGCCTGAAGTAATAAGGAAATCAATCGGGACATGAAAATCGGATTTCACAGAATGTCTATTATTCAGATGTCGGATGTGACAGAGTCCAATGTACTCTGGTTCATGCACAATACATGTCAGTACATGTTTAGTTGGTTTACGATAACCTTGGGGAGACATGCCACAATTAGTTTATTTTGACTAGATATAGATGTACTTACATGCCAAGTCGACTGTTATGATGGGTGACATGGATTTTATTGTTTTCGTTCCAATTTGATTAGAAGCGAAACATTGGTATTTTCCTGTCTCTCTGCGAGTTAAAGAGGCTATCTGTAGTTCACCAGTAATTGGATCTTGTTTTATAAAGTCACTTACTATAGTCTGACCGTCTTTCATCCATTCATATCTATAAATAAAAACAAAATCTTTCATTTGTCTAGGGTTAAACAACGTTGCTGAAACGTTTGAATCAAGTAAATGTACATGTATGAGTCACCCGAGCAATCAAATTAATCAAGGATGAATTAACTCTTGACAGTAATTATCAGAAATTGTTGAAAATCAGCAGGCTTCTTTATATACAAATATCAAGTCCATCCAAGTTAGGGCCATAACTCAAAACTAATTATCTAGAGCATCGACAATATTTTTCAAATTGATAAATTGTTACAATTCAACAGGATTTTTTACCTCATGAACATAACCACTGTATACAGTTCAAGTTAATTGGATGGTAACTTAAGCATCCACAACCAATAGTGTACAAGGATGACAGAAATATATCACCACATATCAATAAATATACATGTAGATGTATAAAAATCAAAGACTAGATTACCAATGACAGACACCCCCCCCCCCACCACAAGTGTGCTTCACCAATTATGTATTACATCTGTAAAAAATTCTCTTACTGAGCTTGAGGATTTGCTTCTGCTTGACATACTAATATCACTTCATCCGTGGCTTTGTAATATATTGTTTTCGCGACATCAGGTTCTGTAATCTTCGGAGTTTGAAGTCCTTAATTGACAAACATTCACATTTTTACAAGTTAAATGGACATTACTAAACTACGTTAAAAATACATTAGAGCTTCACCATTTGAATTTGATTTACAGAATTTTTCTCTTCTGAATGTTATTGGCATCAATTTATAAACCCCCGCTCTAAAAACTATGCTTCAGTCGAGATGATGGCGGTCCACTCCTAAAAATATCAAATTGAATCAGATTTAATGTCTGTCAGCTAAAGCCATTTGGAGAGTAATATATAGTAATTTTTGTTTCTTTGATTACGTCTGCAATGCGAGGGGGTGAGGAATGAGTCCACCATCAGTGCAATATGTCTACGTATACCTTCTGTGAACTCCCATTGTACTATTAATTTCAACACGAAATCATGCTTTTGTATGTCATCTAAAGAACAAGACACACTTCTCTATTGATCCCACATTCTAAAGGTTCTAGACAGCCTACGCCAGGATTAAAACATATAATATTTTGGTTTGAGTGTTGTACATGTATTTATCGTAATCAAACAACCATATACACTTTTGTCCAAACTTTTGGAAACCCTCAAATGACGATAAGAGGCGTTAAAGAAGAATTTTATCAGGTATTCTGGAATGAGAGGAGGGTAATGTGAGGGTAGAGATAGGGAAATTGGAATAAAGGGCGGGAAGAGAAATTAGGGGATAGAGCAAATGGTAGGAAACCGGTGTCCTGGGAGAAATATAAGCTTACTAGGGTAGAAAACACACGACTTGGCTCAATGGCAAACCTTATAATAAAAGCAAAATCGACACAGTGCTGTAGCATCATTGATAGAGATTATGGAAATGGTACCACTCACGCAATATTAATGATCTGTGGCTAAACAAAACGTCAAAATAGAGAGGTGATCTGTCTGTTTATAGCTATCAAAACTAAACAATGATAGAAAATCGATTAAATTGGTTTATTTTGTCGAAATTAACTGCTAATCGTGTTTCTAATCGTCCCGATTTAGAATTCTTATTGTTGGTTCCGCCCGTGAGTCACAAACGCTGTGTTTAATTTAGTTTTGTTTTAGAACGGTGAAGTTGATTCGGGCTATTGGTATCTGTTGTTAGAATATAAGAATAAAATGACCACCTTCTTTCGGTCTGCAATATTCATTACACTATCTTTAGTTCTATTATTTCAGAAGACACGCAGTTTACTACGACTGAAAAATGTGTACAGATATTGACTTTACTTCTACAACATGGAGCAGATTATATGGGCTTGGGGGGATATGCCCCCTTTCATATAGCTGTGTTGAAGAATAATTTGGCTGCTGTGAAACTGTTCCTGGAATTCGGTCACCTTGTTAACCATTACTGCCCAGATGACAAAAAACTGTCACGTGAAACACTCCCGGTTCCCGTCAGTCAGTCCCAGAGCTGGGGATACAACACCCCTATCAAGCGAGGAGAAGAGACAGAAGACTGACAGGATGAGAACCACCTGATCCTTGTCAGTGACCCAACAATGGCACTCAACAACAACATCCCATCTGGCATGCGCACAAAAGAGCTCACAACAAAAGTTAAAGTGGAAGGGAGTAACATGAGCTATGTGATCAAGGAGCTCAATAATGCATCGCCAATGCAGCCAAGGAAACCATCCCACGATGGGGGGGGGGAGAACTATACCCCATACTGGACAACACATCGGCAGAAAGCACATGATGAACTTAGTGCAGCAAGAGAAGAATAAAAGTACCACTACAGGAAATGAAAGGCAAAATTCCTCAAAACCAAGCTTGAATCTAAGAGGAAAAGCTGGAGCGAAAAAACTGCAAGCCTTAACTTGGAGAGAGACACCACAGAAGAACTTGACTCCATGCAACACGACCTCACATTGGTTTAACCTACAACATCCATCAAACAAATGAAGAAGAAAAAATCCCTAGGCCCCGATAACATCACACACGAGATGCTGCAACACAGCCCTCAACAAACTACCGAATGTCTTTAACCTGAGCTGGAAGCACGTTCTAGTACCTCAGTGCTGGAAGGAAGCCAGGATGATGATCCCAATTCTAAAGAAAAGGAAGAACAAAGCAAAACCAGCTAGCTACCGCCCCATCAGTCTGACAAGCTGCGTATGCAAAACCATGGAGCGCATTGTAAACCAGCGTCTGCAGTGGTACCTTGCCTTCCAAGCCAAGAAGGCCACACTGCAGAAGTGGAAAGACGGACTACTCGTGAAGCTCCTGCGAAGTGGCATCAGCGGCAACATGTACCGGCGGACACTGTGGCCGTAAAGGTTGGGACGATTTACCCAATACTACCCAATACCACCTCAATATCACCACATACTACCCAATACTATAACATAATGATGCAAAATGGACATATCATTTGATTTTTTTTTTCAAAAATAGAAGGTTGTATCGCGGGAAACGTACTTCAAATGCTATGCCGATGTCTGGCTGTTCATTTGCCTCCATATATCACCCAAAACAACCAAATAATAACCCAATACTACCAAATACTCATCAAATACTACCAAATACTACCCAATATAAGCAAATAACAACTTGATTTTGTCAAATAACAGCACATTAGTACAATTACTCCAACGAATATTAGAAATTTTGCAGAAAATTGAAATTTCTGTGCAGTTGTGTTGTGGGATTGGGTAGTATATGGTGATATTGAGATGGTATTGGGTAGTATTGGGTAAATCTTCCAACCGCCGCCGGCCGGAAAGGGCTGCTTCGACAAGGAGTCCCACAAGCGGAAGTACTCTCACCAATCCTTTTCATAAACGATATTGTGCCAGAGCTACCTAAGTGTATGCAAATGAAAAGATCCTCAAAATTATCTATCAGGGTCAGGGAACGGTAAGACCACATCTGGTGTATGGATCAAGCTAATGGATGACTGCAGTCAAGACACATCAAGAGTATCTTGACAAAGTTCAAAACTAGGCTGTTCGCATCATCACAGGTGCTATGAAATTTAAACCTATAGAAAAGATGGAACAGATAACTGGGATCTCCCACTAAACAAACGAAGAGAAAAGAAAGGTACTGATACAAGCCACCAAATACCAACATAGCTCAGACTACCGAATGAGAATAAAACGCCAGGAAAAGCTGCCTTCACTCATTGAGGTTAATACTCCTAGTGCTATCACAACTGCAAGATGCAGAACAGGTTGTCATCTTCCGACTCAGAACCTGGCACTTCAGACTAGCGTCCCATCTACAGGTGTGATCGAATAAAATCAAAAAAAAAAAAATCTTACTCCAAGTACGTCAATGCTTGGATTATAATCAATATTGTGTGATTTATTAAAATTGAAAAGGAATATGTATTTTAATGTTGGTGAACCTATGACCATAATCCTTGCCACGTACTAACCTCGGAAAGACCTTATGATGCAAAACCCAGGCGTTACTGCCCCCCCCCCCCCTCGCTACACACACCCTTCGCGTTTATGAAATGAAAATGAAATGAAATGGAGTTTAACGTCCTACCTACTGTTCTGCTCCTAACCTGGGTTAATGAAGACGGGCATATGCCATACAGTGTGCTATGAGAGAAATTTTGCCCGGACAGCGGCACTACGGCCTACTCTTATATCGAATTCCATCTGCCAAGGGATCTTTTACGTGCACGCCAATGTGTACACGGGACCTCGGTTTTTTGTTCCATCCGAACGACTAGACAGCTTTCCTTGTCAGCCCCTCCGTCCTGCATCACTGACAAGGGAGAACCACGCCGGAAAATCTGGATGAACTTTCTCGGCCAATGCAGGGATCGAATTTCGCGTTTATGAAAATATTTAAAAGTTTAACAGCGATGCATTTCCGAGGACAAACGGGTCGACTGAAAGTCGATTTTTGTACCGTCAACACTGTGAACGGTATCCACCAAACTCGATTTCTGAGACGGGGTGTCGGAATAACGGGCTATGTACTAAGGGACAGTCGAAGTAACGGGCTGACATATTTTGGGGGAGTAAACCATCAAAAGACAAGGAATAAAGAAACGTCGTTTATTACGGCCAACCGTACTGTCGTAATCGGAATTATAGAAAGCAAGAAAAACACCAACCCCGAAGTAAATCATTATTTTTTGTGTTAACAAAGAAGCCCAGCCTTAGTGTCTTAATATTCGAATATACACAGCACATAACCAATATGACCGAATATAGATCTGTAAGATAAAATAGTTATTGACGGAATTGGCTGGCAGTTGGTGCCATATCATCTATACATGTTCACCCTTAGAGCCAAATAACTTCAATTCTAACCGTTATATGTATATAATATAGAATATAGAAAGCCCAATTCCGTAACCTTAAAGATACTTTTCCCAAAAAAAATATTTATCGGGTGGTTATTTCCAATAAAAGTATGGCAATTTTGGTATATATGGAAAATAAAAATATCCAATCTTACTAGAAAAATACTGCATTCCCTTAATAACACCCATGGAATGCATACAGGACAAAAATGTAAGGGTTTCCCTAATCGGCAGCCTGACGATTAGGAATGTCTGTTCGCGTCACGTCAAAGCTAAGACGCGACGATTGAGCGCTTGGTGTATGTGTTGATAAACTTGATAAAGGGTTAAACGTACAACAGTTTCTGTGATAAAAACCACGGAAAAAGACGTGGGCGGTGGATAATCCGTGAATTTAATTAGGCTTCGATACTTATGATTTATGGATAGCGATTAAAGACAACATCGTCTTGTGTATGCAATGAATTCTTCTTCGCACCCGTTGCTAGGTAGTGCGTCAGCTAAGTCACGTGACACTAACATGACTTCTTTTAATAGATTTTTTTTATAGTAGGGGTATTCCTTCGCGAAAACAGTGTTTGAGAAGGATTTGAAACTAAATTTTGACAGATTAATTAGTTTGAATATGTTTTTAGTCCAATTATGCATATGTATATTTTTTTTCCGTGGGCTTAAAGTTGCCTGATCTTGGAATAACTTGAACAATTAATGCTTGGTATTAAAAAAAAAATGTAGCCCTTATAAGCTTACAGTCAGTTCGGTATTCGGTATTCAACTTTGTATATCCAAGCTTCAAAAAAAATATGCATATGTGGAAATGAAATGGGGTTTAACGTCCTACTGTTCTGCACCGCACTGGGCTAATGAAGATGTGCATACGCCATACAGTGTGCTATGAGGGAAATTTTGCCCAGACAGCAGCACTACGGCCTACTCTTATATCAAATTCTATTTGTCCCATCCAAATGACTAGACAGCTGTCCTTGTCAGGCCCTCCATCCTGCATCACTGACAAGGAGGAACCACGCTGAAAAATTTGGAAGAACTTTCTAGGCCAATGCAGGGATTTTAAGCCAGCGCCTTACCCACTTAGCCACCGTGACCCCCCATTAAAGAAAGATAGGCAATGAAACATATACCCACAGTAACTAAATTAATCAAGCGGTCGACAAGGATTGTCGCATATTTATTCATTTGTAGGTAAAGGGGGGCATTTACAAGATCATTTTATACAGATCAAATTATAATTTCCATCGTTTGAGGGTTCGAAAGGGTTCTACAAACTGAAACTAGGGCCTTAACTCCCAAGTACATGTAATTTACAGAAATTGTTAAAATTTGACAGGATCTTTAGTCTTACTAATTTAAATAATGCAGATAAACTTCATACAGATCGGATGATAACTTTTGTTGTGAGAGCATTCACAAGGTTCAACAAAATAAACAAGAGCCATAACTCTTGAAGTAATAAATGGGAAATTTCATACGGATCAGACGATAACTTTTATTGTTCGAAAGTTCACAAGGTTCAACAAAGTGAAACAAGGGCCATAACTTTAGACATAATTAACAGAAATTTCTGAAATGCAAAAGGTTTCTTCATTTCACTAATTTAAATGATGCATATAAATTTCATACAGATCTGATACATGTAATAAGTTTTATTGTTTCGAAATTTCACAAGATTCAACAAAGTAAAACATGGGCCATAACTCTAGAAGTAATTAACAGAAATTGCTGCTAGTCAACAGGCTTCGATGTTTCACTAGTTAAAAGGATGTATATAAATTTCATACAGATAGGATGATAATATTTCTTGTTAGAGCGTTAACAGGATTCTATAAAGTGAAACAAGGGCCATTACGTTTAGACATTATTAATGGAAAATGATGAAATTTAAACATACATTATGCAAGAGATAAATCTGCCAATTTCAGGTCTTTCTTTAGACCTGAAATGTTATCTAAATTATTAAATATACATTAATTAACTGATAATTCAAATGCTAAATTTTCGGTTCAGAGGTTATCACTCAACGAGTTTGAGAGTTTTAGTCAGGATGACATTTTAAAGATCATCAAATCCGCCAACAAAACGACATGTCCACTTGATCCAATACCTTCCAAGCTACTCATTCAACTGCTAGACATTCTACTTCCTGTTATTACTCTATTAGTCAACTTAAGTTTAAGTACTGGATGTTTCCCATCGGTGTTCAAACAGGCGGTGGTGAGACCACTAATCAAAAAGGAGTCTCTTGATCCCAATATTCTCAAAAACTATAAACCTGTGTCTAACTTGTCATGCCTTTCCAAAATTGTGGAAAGAGCTGTAAATCTCCTTCTTCAATCCCATATCTCGAAATATGAGTTGTTGGATAAGTTTCAGTCTGCTTACAGACCCCACCATGGCACTGAGACCACTGTGTTGAGGGTCCTCAACGACCTACAGTGTGCAGTGGATACAGGGAACGTAGCATCTTTGACTCTTTTGGATTTATCTGCAGCGTTCGACACTGTGGACCATCAGATTCTATACAATAGACTTAAAAACCAGTTTTGGATTTCCGGTACACCGCTTTTATGGAACACATCATATCTTAGTAATAGACATCAAACAGTTCTACTTGGTGAGGCTAAATCTCTACCGTTTAAACTTGACTGTGGCGTACCGCAAGGCAGTGTTTTAGGACCCATTTTCTTTGTTCTTTATACAACCGCTTTAGGGTCTGTGATCGATGGCTATGATCAGAGGCACTACTCTTACGCCGATGATACTCAACGCATTGGTGTGTCTAGTCCTATGCTAATCAGAAATGCCTTACAAAAAACTACTGACTGTTCGCTGGCAGTTAAACAGTAGATGAAAGCGAACAAACTAACATTGAACGACGATAAAACAGAGGCTCTTTTAGTAGGTTCATCACAACAACTCAAATTACTACCTGGTCTTAAAATCACCATTGGTAATTCAGAAATAAATTTCTCCAAAAATGTTCGAAACCTTGGAGTGATATTTGATCCTTCTCTGACAATGGAAGCTCAGGTTGATATGGTATGCCGTACATGCTACTATCATCTACGCTGTATATGCAACATCAGAAACTATCTCACTGCTGACGCTTGTAAACTACTTGTGAGATCACTTATTTTATCAAGGATTGATTATTGTAATAGTTTACTCTATGGAATCCCACAAGCATTTCTAGCCAAGATCCAAAAGGTTCTTAATACTGCAGCCCGAATAGTAACAAGGACACATAAGTTTGATCACATTCAGAATGTGCTGGCTTCTTTACATTGGTTACCTGCTGAGGCGCGAGTCAAATACAAAATACTAACATTAGTGTATAAATGTCGCAATAATGCAGCTCCTCAATACTTATCTGAACACTTATATGACTATAACCCTATTAGATCACTTCGCTCTCAAAATAAACAGTCACTAGTTGTTCCAAGATATAATTTGAAGTCATATGGGTATAGGTCTTTCAGTTCAGCTGGTCCTAGATTATGGAACGAACTTCCACAACAGATCAAGAATCAACAAACTTTTAATCAATTTAAATCCGCACTAAAGACTTTCCTGTTTCAACAGTTTTACCAGAAGAGCCATTACAAAAAGCGTTTTGAGCATGTGTCAACATGGAGAAGACGCTATATAAAACTTCATTATTATTATTATTATTATTATCAATTTGACTGAAATTTTCAGCAAATTCCCTTTACATTATCTCGTTTTAACTATTTTAGTGAGAACTGCCAGCTCTTTATCTAATCTCCCATAATGTATCTTTAAAAGGCTCTTTCGTTTCATTAATTTAAAGGATGCATACAAATTTCATACAGATTGGATGACCATTTTTGTCATTGTAGCATTCATAAGGTGCAATAACGTGAAACAATGACCATAACGCTAGAAGAAGTTAACGGAAATTATTGAAATTAAAAAGGTTTCTTCATCTTAGTGATGTAAACAACATATATCAATTTCAAAACAATCAAATGATAAATGTTGTCTGTAGGGTGTTCACAAGAAAGTGTGGACGACGGCAATTACGACCACATTTCCATGTAGGCGCATAAAAAGCTAAAACAAACTTACTTTCAACTTCTTTCAAGATAACTTGAATTGTAACATTGATTTTTTCATGTACATTATACACCATCCGTATGTACGTTCCATTAATAGTACGATAATCCTCAAACGATAAATCCTCTGTGTTGATGTATGCGTATTTAGATGTTTCATTGTAAGTAACAAAAGGTGGCTTATCATCATAAGTCTGATTGTTAAAGAGCCATTTATACTGAATCGGCCATGGAGAGTTAGTCTGGGCCATAACAGTCAAATTGACGATATCACCTTTCAATATCTCCTGAACAGCTGGAGGTCTTGATGTAATCACAATGGGTTCTTAAAAAGAAAAAAAACCCACCTCTATCACATTATTTTTATAGTAATCAAATGCTTGATTGCAATTCATGATAAAAATGGGCAGTGTTTGATTCATGATACTGATAGACATCTACCATACCTGATCTGGTGTGAGTAGAATTCCAGTAAATACTTGACATTGAGTCAGGTCAATGTTTTTTTAGGTCATGATACCTGGTACAGTATCAGTTGAATCAGGATTTAATGTAACACAAGAGAGACATCGTAGGGATATTTTTTTATTGACTCAGTACATGTTTTGTCTGATGAAATTCTCATATTCACTCGATTGTCAATGCTCTTAGGGTTGAAAGAACTGGATACTATCAGGTTTGCATTACCAGCTTGATATTAAAAGGCTAAAACTTACCTATGACATCCAGACATCCATCAGCAAATCGAAAACCCTCCGAGTTGGTAACTTTACACTGGAAGCATGTAGTATCATCTGGTTTTACAAGATTTGTCACCTTCAATATCTGTTGATCATTACCGAACACATATTTACCACTGTCAACTAGGATTAGAAGATAAATATAGGTCAAAGGTCATGTAATATGGTCAAAATTTTTGGAAACTTGAAATAAGACTAAAATGGGTCTAAAAGCATATTAATATATATGTATTATGAGTATATATTAAGTGATTTACATTCGATATTTAAATTTTTTGTTGTAATTTCTAATCAATTATATTCCATGAAATAGGTGAACAGTCAAATTGAACGGCAGATTTTTGTGCCAGCTTAGTCCATTCCACACAGGTTTTTTTTAATAATTAATTTGTCATTTATGAATCCACGATTTTATAGTAGTTCGCCGATCGTTATCTCAACGGGAAAGCAGTTTTATTCAAGTTGACAAAGTTCATGTCATAAAATGATTTCTTTTTTGTACACCTTAGGGGCGTCCCCTTAAATCTGTGCCTGCTGACCTATTTCTTCTAGAGTAAGGCATTTTTCAAAATTATTTGTTAAACTCCTTGAAAAAACACCAGCTCTTTTTACAACAGCTTAAACATTGCTATTTTATTTAACTGTATATTCAAATAAGATCCAAGTGAAAATTTCTGTTTTAACCCACCAGCCAAGACTCCCAAAGAGCTTATGGCTCTTTCATAATGCCAATACTATAGAATGGTTGAATATGGATTTTTGCATCTGAAGAATATTTGAAACTTACATTTATCGTTTGGAATGGGGGCTCCATTTTCAAACCATTCTGGTGGTCCTGGTGGATTCTCCCTTATTACTGATTTTGCTTGACAGGTCATACTAGCATCTCTTGTTGCTGCAACCGTAATTGACGATAAGGACTTTTCCCAGATAGGACGAGCTGGAATAAATATATGAACAATATATTGGATGTTGTGTCACTTATTCCGTTTTATACATTTATATTTTCATGCCCACACCATAGAAAACAAAGGAAATTAATGATTAAGACATTTATTAACATAATGGGTACAGGGAGCGGCCATTTTGTCAGGCAGTTTGAATCAAATTTCATGAAGCGGTGATACATTTAAACGATTTTTAAAATCGGAAAAAATTGTGAACTCTAGGGTATCCGCAAGCTAAAATCGCGATTCTTAGGTACAACCAGGAAGTTACAGTCAGATATGCACAAATATCGAAAGGAAACTAGATCTTTGGGATGTAAACACGTTTTCAGTTTCATCAAAAATGTGACCACTAGAGGGTCCACAACCTTGATATTACATACTTTAACATTATTTGCGTACAAAGAGTGGCCATTTTGTTCGACAGTTAGGACCCGATTCGAAATTGGCCGTCATTATTGTGTAACGGTGATATATTCAAACGTTTTTTAAATCGAATAAAAATTGTGAACGCAGGGGCTATAATCCAGGAAGTTACGGTCCGATCAATTGGATAAAAAATTTGACATCTAGAGTGTCCACAAGCTAAAAACGTGATTTATTGTACAATCAATAAAGTCATGGTCCATAACATGCCAATATCAAAAGGAACCAAGATCTTTTGGCAATAAACCTATATTTCAAGTTGTGTCAAAATCGGTTACAAATTGTGATCTATAGAGTGTCCACAAAGAAATTGTGGAAGGACGGACAGGGGCATCGACAATATACATCCACATGAAAATGTGAGCATATAAAAAAGGTTGCAGAAACTGTCCTAAAGAGTTTTTTTTAAAAGAAACTGTTTAGAAACCGAAGTTCTGTAATTGTTACTTACATGTGACATTAAGAGCTGTTGTTGCTGTATTTGTTTGAGTATTTGCACCTTCACAAGTGAAAGTTCCTTCGTCTGACTCCTGGATATTTTTAACTCGTAAAACGCGTCGTAAAGTGTCGATAAATTCATATTTATCAGAGTTACTTGTAATTGCTTGTAACTCATTGTTTTTCCACGATATAGATGGTATCGGCCTGGAAAACATTTTTCGAGACTTCTGATTAAATCATCTACAAATCTTTTCAAAAACATAAATTTTCAGGGTCCAAAACATTAATATTGTTTAAGTCATGTGTTTAGATCATGAGAACATGAAAAGGGGCTATGAAAAATAGCAGAGGTCGCCACACCTACCATAAAAATATCATGGAATTTAACAAAAACAATAAATATGGTCAAATAATGAAAATTAACAGGGGCCATAATGTGACATCAAATCATCAAAGCTAACAGGGGCCATTTAACATGTCAAAGATAACAAGAAATGAAACGAAACGAAACAGGATTTAACGTCCTTCTGTTCTGCTATGACTAGGCTAATCAAAACAGGCAAACGCCATACAGTGTGCTATGACGGAAATTTTGCCCAGCGTTACGGCATACTCTTATATTGAATTACAACTGGAAATCTTTTATGTGCACTCCCATGTGTACACGGGACCTCAGTTTTTCATCCCACCAGAACGACTAGACAGATGTCCTTGTCAGGCCCTCCACCCTGCACCAATGACAAGTGGATACCATGCCAGAAAATTTTCATAAATTTCCTCGGCGACCTTTAGGTTTGTGAGCAAGCGTCTTACCCACTTAGCCAACGTGGCTCCCCAAAGATAACACAGGTCATAAAGTGACATCAAATCATCAAAGATAATAGGGGCCAATAACATGACATCACAATGTGATATCAAATCATCCAAGATAGCAAGGGCCATAATGTGACATCAAATCAAAGATAACAGGAGCCAAAATATGACCTTAGATCATGAAAAATAGCAGGGACCACAATGTGACATCAAATCATGAAGAATAACTTTGTACTTACTTGCCACCAAAGATACATTGTATGTCAATATAATGTCCAATAAGAGCTTTCTGATTTGGTTTGCTATATAACACACTGGGTGCTCTATCTGGAATTGCTGGAACACAGAATACAAATAAAAACCTTTAAAAGATTTGTTTCTTCAAGCAAAATTAGGTCATCTGTTTTGTAGATAATAACAAAGTTTCTCCTAACATATCCTTTGGCAACCTACCTAGATTATGAAATTGGGGTGTAACAGTTATATATTTAAATGCTTGGTTTTTTTTAAAATTGAATAGAAATTGTGACTTCTAGAGGGACCACAATCTAAAAACATGATACAGTCAGATACGTGCGGATATCAAAAAGGAACCAAACATATATTTCAAGTTTGTTCAAAATCGGATAAAAATTGTGACCTGTAGAGTTTCCATAAAGAAATTGAGGACGGATGGACAGACAGGGGGGATGACAATACACGTATATATAAGTCCACATGGAAGTGTGGAGGTATAAAAAGAAACCATTTTCCGTTAAATCAAACTTTACTGCATAATTATCTTATTGGTGTGAAAAGTGTATTTTAAACACTTACGATTTAGTTTCGTAATCTCTAAAATCTTCCCACTGCCTAAATTAACGGAATTAAGATGACGATTAAAAATGGCACATTGATATCTTAATCCAATTAAATCATCATCTTTTGTTACGTAGACGAAATAAAGAGTTCCTGAAAATATATAATAAGATAATAAATTGCATGAAATGGTCACTATTATAATAGTCAGTTTATTACGGCCAACCGTACTGTCGTAATCGGAATTATAGAAAGCAAGAAAAACACCAACCCCGAAGTAAATCATTATTTTTTGTGTTAACAAAGAAGCCCAGCCTTAGTGTCTTAATATTCGAATATACACAGCACATAACCAATATGACCGAATATAGATCTGTAAGATAAAATAGTTATTGACGGAATTGGCTGGCAGTTGGTGCCATATCATCTATACATGTTCACCCTTAGAGCCAAATAACTTCAATTCTAACCGTTATATGTATATAATATAGAATATAGAAAGCCCAATTCCGTAACCTTAAAGATACTTTTCCCAAAAAAAATATTTATCGGGTGGTTATTTCCAATAAAAGTATGGCAATTTTGGTATATATGGAAAATAAAAATATCCAATCTTACTAGAAAAATACTGCATTCCCTTAATAACACCCATGGAATGCATACAGGACAAAAATGTAAGGGTTTCCCTAATCGGCAGCCTGACGATTAGGAATGTCTGTTCGCGTCACGTCAAAGCTAAGACGCGACGATTGAGCGCTTGGTGTATGTGTTGATAAACTTGATAAAGGGTTAAACGTACAACAGTTTCTGTGATAAAAACCACGGAAAAAGACGTGGGCGGTGGATAATCCGTGAATTTAATTAGGCTTCGATACTTATGATTTATGGATAGCGATTAAAGACAACATCGTCTTGTGTATGCAATGAATTCTTCTTCGCACCCGTTGCTAGGTAGTGCGTCAGCTAAGTCACGTGACACTAACATGACTTCTTTTAATAGATTTTTTTTATAGTAGGGGTATTCCTTCGCGAAAACAGTGTTTGAGAAGGATTTGAAACTAAATTTTGACAGATTAATTAGTTTGAATATGTTTTTAGTCCAATTATGCATATGTATATTTTTTTTCCGTGGGCTTAAAGTTGCCTGATCTTGGAATAACTTGAACAATTAATGCTTGGTATTAAAAAAAAAATGTAGCCCTTATAAGCTTACAGTCAGTTCGGTATTCGGTATTCAACTTTGTATATCCAAGCTTCAAAAAAAATATGCATATGTGGAAATGAAATGGGGTTTAACGTCCTACTGTTCTGCACCGCACTGGGCTAATGAAGATGTGCATACGCCATACAGTGTGCTATGAGGGAAATTTTGCCCAGACAGCAGCACTACGGCCTACTCTTATATCAAATTCTATTTGTCCCATCCAAATGACTAGACAGCTGTCCTTGTCAGGCCCTCCATCCTGCATCACTGACAAGGAGGAACCACGCTGAAAAATTTGGAAGAACTTTCTAGGCCAATGCAGGGATTTTAAGCCAGCGCCTTACCCACTTAGCCACCGTGACCCCCCATTAAAGAAAGATAGGCAATGAAACATATACCCACAGTAACTAAATTAATCAAGCGGTCGACAAGGATTGTCGCATATTTATTCATTTGTAGGTAAAGGGGGGCATTTACAAGATCATTTTATACAGATCAAATTATAATTTCCATCGTTTGAGGGTTCGAAAGGGTTCTACAAACTGAAACTAGGGCCTTAACTCCCAAGTACATGTAATTTACAGAAATTGTTAAAATTTGACAGGATCTTTAGTCTTACTAATTTAAATAATGCAGATAAACTTCATACAGATCGGATGATAACTTTTGTTGTGAGAGCATTCACAAGGTTCAACAAAATAAACAAGAGCCATAACTCTTGAAGTAATAAATGGGAAATTTCATACGGATCAGACGATAACTTTTATTGTTCGAAAGTTCACAAGGTTCAACAAAGTGAAACAAGGGCCATAACTTTAGACATAATTAACAGAAATTTCTGAAATGCAAAAGGTTTCTTCATTTCACTAATTTAAATGATGCATATAAATTTCATACAGATCTGATACATGTAATAAGTTTTATTGTTTCGAAATTTCACAAGATTCAACAAAGTAAAACATGGGCCATAACTCTAGAAGTAATTAACAGAAATTGCTGCTAGTCAACAGGCTTCGATGTTTCACTAGTTAAAAGGATGTATATAAATTTCATACAGATAGGATGATAATATTTCTTGTTAGAGCGTTAACAGGATTCTATAAAGTGAAACAAGGGCCATTACGTTTAGACATTATTAATGGAAAATGATGAAATTTAAACATACATTATGCAAGAGATAAATCTGCCAATTTCAGGTCTTTCTTTAGACCTGAAATGTTATCTAAATTATTAAATATACATTAATTAACTGATAATTCAAATGCTAAATTTTCGGTTCAGAGGTTATCACTCAACGAGTTTGAGAGTTTTAGTCAGGATGACATTTTAAAGATCATCAAATCCGCCAACAAAACGACATGTCCACTTGATCCAATACCTTCCAAGCTACTCATTCAACTGCTAGACATTCTACTTCCTGTTATTACTCTATTAGTCAACTTAAGTTTAAGTACTGGATGTTTCCCATCGGTGTTCAAACAGGCGGTGGTGAGACCACTAATCAAAAAGGAGTCTCTTGATCCCAATATTCTCAAAAACTATAAACCTGTGTCTAACTTGTCATGCCTTTCCAAAATTGTGGAAAGAGCTGTAAATCTCCTTCTTCAATCCCATATCTCGAAATATGAGTTGTTGGATAAGTTTCAGTCTGCTTACAGACCCCACCATGGCACTGAGACCACTGTGTTGAGGGTCCTCAACGACCTACAGTGTGCAGTGGATACAGGGAACGTAGCATCTTTGACTCTTTTGGATTTATCTGCAGCGTTCGACACTGTGGACCATCAGATTCTATACAATAGACTTAAAAACCAGTTTTGGATTTCCGGTACACCGCTTTTATGGAACACATCATATCTTAGTAATAGACATCAAACAGTTCTACTTGGTGAGGCTAAATCTCTACCGTTTAAACTTGACTGTGGCGTACCGCAAGGCAGTGTTTTAGGACCCATTTTCTTTGTTCTTTATACAACCGCTTTAGGGTCTGTGATCGATGGCTATGATCAGAGGCACTACTCTTACGCCGATGATACTCAACGCATTGGTGTGTCTAGTCCTATGCTAATCAGAAATGCCTTACAAAAAACTACTGACTGTTCGCTGGCAGTTAAACAGTAGATGAAAGCGAACAAACTAACATTGAACGACGATAAAACAGAGGCTCTTTTAGTAGGTTCATCACAACAACTCAAATTACTACCTGGTCTTAAAATCACCATTGGTAATTCAGAAATAAATTTCTCCAAAAATGTTCGAAACCTTGGAGTGATATTTGATCCTTCTCTGACAATGGAAGCTCAGGTTGATATGGTATGCCGTACATGCTACTATCATCTACGCTGTATATGCAACATCAGAAACTATCTCACTGCTGACGCTTGTAAACTACTTGTGAGATCACTTATTTTATCAAGGATTGATTATTGTAATAGTTTACTCTATGGAATCCCACAAGCATTTCTAGCCAAGATCCAAAAGGTTCTTAATACTGCAGCCCGAATAGTAACAAGGACACATAAGTTTGATCACATTCAGAATGTGCTGGCTTCTTTACATTGGTTACCTGCTGAGGCGCGAGTCAAATACAAAATACTAACATTAGTGTATAAATGTCGCAATAATGCAGCTCCTCAATACTTATCTGAACACTTATATGACTATAACCCTATTAGATCACTTCGCTCTCAAAATAAACAGTCACTAGTTGTTCCAAGATATAATTTGAAGTCATATGGGTATAGGTCTTTCAGTTCAGCTGGTCCTAGATTATGGAACGAACTTCCACAACAGATCAAGAATCAACAAACTTTTAATCAATTTAAATCCGCACTAAAGACTTTCCTGTTTCAACAGTTTTACCAGAAGAGCCATTACAAAAAGCGTTTTGAGCATGTGTCAACATGGAGAAGACGCTATATAAAACTTCATTATTATTATTATTATTATTATCAATTTGACTGAAATTTTCAGCAAATTCCCTTTACATTATCTCGTTTTAACTATTTTAGTGAGAACTGCCAGCTCTTTATCTAATCTCCCATAATGTATCTTTAAAAGGCTCTTTCGTTTCATTAATTTAAAGGATGCATACAAATTTCATACAGATTGGATGACCATTTTTGTCATTGTAGCATTCATAAGGTGCAATAACGTGAAACAATGACCATAACGCTAGAAGAAGTTAACGGAAATTATTGAAATTAAAAAGGTTTCTTCATCTTAGTGATGTAAACAACATATATCAATTTCAAAACAATCAAATGATAAATGTTGTCTGTAGGGTGTTCACAAGAAAGTGTGGACGACGGCAATTACGACCACATTTCCATGTAGGCGCATAAAAAGCTAAAACAAACTTACTTTCAACTTCTTTCAAGATAACTTGAATTGTAACATTGATTTTTTCATGTACATTATACACCATCCGTATGTACGTTCCATTAATAGTACGATAATCCTCAAACGATAAATCCTCTGTGTTGATGTATGCGTATTTAGATGTTTCATTGTAAGTAACAAAAGGTGGCTTATCATCATAAGTCTGATTGTTAAAGAACCATTTATACTGAATCGGCCATGGAGAGTTAGTCTGGGCCATAACAGTCAAATTGACGATATCACCTTTCAATATCTCCTGAACAGCTGGAGGTCTTGATGTAATCACAATGGGTTCTTAAAAAGAAAAAAAACCCACCTCTATCACATTATTTTTATAGTAATCAAATGCTTGATTGCAATTCATGATAAAAATGGGCAGTGTTTGATTCATGATACTGATAGACATCTACCATACCTGATCTGGTGTGAGTAGAATTCCAGTAAATACTTGACATTGAGTCAGGTCAATGTTTTTTTAGGTCATGATACCTGGTACAGTATCAGTTGAATCAGGATTTAATGTAACACAAGAGAGACATCGTAGGGATATTTTTTTATTGACTCAGTACATGTTTTGTCTGATGAAATTCTCATATTCACTCGATTGTCAATGCTCTTAGGGTTGAAAGAACTGGATACTATCAGGTTTGCATTACCAGCTTGATATTAAAAGGCTAAAACTTACCTATGACATCCAGACATCCATCAGCAAATCGAAAACCCTCCGAGTTGGTAACTTTACACTGGAAGCATGTAGTATCATCTGGTTTTACAAGATTTGTCACCTTCAATATCTGTTGATCATTACCGAACACATATTTACCACTGTCAACTAGGATTAGAAGATAAATATAGGTCAAAGGTCATGTAATATGGTCAAAATTTTTGGAAACTTGAAATAAGACTAAAATGGGTCTAAAAGCATATTAATATATATGTATTATGAGTATATATTAAGTGATTTACATTCGATATTTAAATTTTTTGTTGTAATTTCTAATCAATTATATTCCATGAAATAGGTGAACAGTCAAATTGAACGGCAGATTTTTGTGCCAGCTTAGTCCATTCCACACAGGTTTTTTTTAATAATTAATTTGTCATTTATGAATCCACGATTTTATAGTAGTTCGCCGATCGTTATCTCAACGGGAAAGCAGTTTTATTCAAGTTGACAAAGTTCATGTCATAAAATGATTTCTTTTTTGTACACCTTAGGGGCGTCCCCTTAAATCTGTGCCTGCTGACCTATTTCTTCTAGAGTAAGGCATTTTTCAAAATTATTTGTTAAACTCCTTGAAAAAACACCAGCTCTTTTTACAACAGCTTAAACATTGCTATTTTATTTAACTGTATATTCAAATAAGATCCAAGTGAAAATTTCTGTTTTAACCCACCAGCCAAGACTCCCAAAGAGCTTATGGCTCTTTCATAATGCCAATACTATAGAATGGTTGAATATGGATTTTTGCATCTGAAGAATATTTGAAACTTACATTTATCGTTTGGAATGGGGGCTCCATTTTCAAACCATTCTGGTGGTCCTGGTGGATTCTCCCTTATTACTGATTTTGCTTGACAGGTCATACTAGCATCTCTTGTTGCTGCAACCGTAATTGACGATAAGGACTTTTCCCAGATAGGACGAGCTGGAATAAATATATGAACAATATATTGGATGTTGTGTCACTTATTCCGTTTTATACATTTATATTTTCATGCCCACACCATAGAAAACAAAGGAAATTAATGATTAAGACATTTATTAACATAATGGGTACAGGGAGCGGCCATTTTGTCAGGCAGTTTGAATCAAATTTCATGAAGCGGTGATACATTTAAACGATTTTTAAAATCGGAAAAAATTGTGAACTCTAGGGTATCCGCAAGCTAAAATCGCGATTCTTAGGTACAACCAGGAAGTTACAGTCAGATATGCACAAATATCGAAAGGAAACTAGATCTTTGGGATGTAAACACGTTTTCAGTTTCATCAAAAATGTGACCACTAGAGGGTCCACAACCTTGATATTACATACTTTAACATTATTTGCGTACAAAGAGTGGCCATTTTGTTCGACAGTTAGGACCCGATTCGAAATTGGCCGTCATTATTGTGTAACGGTGATATATTCAAACGTTTTTTAAATCGAATAAAAATTGTGAACGCAGGGGCTATAATCCAGGAAGTTACGGTCCGATCAATTGGATAAAAAATTTGACATCTAGAGTGTCCACAAGCTAAAAACGTGATTTATTGTACAATCAATAAAGTCATGGTCCATAACATGCCAATATCAAAAGGAACCAAGATCTTTTGGCAATAAACCTATATTTCAAGTTGTGTCAAAATCGGTTACAAATTGTGATCTATAGAGTGTCCACAAAGAAATTGTGGAAGGACGGACAGGGGCATCGACAATATACATCCACATGAAAATGTGAGCATATAAAAAAGGTTGCAGAAACTGTCCTAAAGAGTTTTTTTTAAAAGAAACTGTTTAGAAACCGAAGTTCTGTAATTGTTACTTACATGTGACATTAAGAGCTGTTGTTGCTGTATTTGTTTGAGTATTTGCACCTTCACAAGTGAAAGTTCCTTCGTCTGACTCCTGGATATTTTTAACTCGTAAAACGCGTCGTAAAGTGTCGATAAATTCATATTTATCAGAGTTACTTGTAATTGCTTGTAACTCATTGTTTTTCCACGATATAGATGGTATCGGCCTGGAAAACATTTTTCGAGACTTCTGATTAAATCATCTACAAATCTTTTCAAAAACATAAATTTTCAGGGTCCAAAACATTAATATTGTTTAAGTCATGTGTTTAGATCATGAGAACATGAAAAGGGGCTATGAAAAATAGCAGAGGTCGCCACACCTACCATAAAAATATCATGGAATTTAACAAAAACAATAAATATGGTCAAATAATGAAAATTAACAGGGGCCATAATGTGACATCAAATCATCAAAGCTAACAGGGGCCATTTAACATGTCAAAGATAACAAGAAATGAAACGAAACGAAACAGGATTTAACGTCCTTCTGTTCTGCTATGACTAGGCTAATCAAAACAGGCAAACGCCATACAGTGTGCTATGACGGAAATTTTGCCCAGCGTTACGGCATACTCTTATATTGAATTACAACTGGAAATCTTTTATGTGCACTCCCATGTGTACACGGGACCTCAGTTTTTCATCCCACCAGAACGACTAGACAGATGTCCTTGTCAGGCCCTCCACCCTGCACCAATGACAAGTGGATACCATGCCAGAAAATTTTCATAAATTTCCTCGGCGACCTTTAGGTTTGTGAGCAAGCGTCTTACCCACTTAGCCAACGTGGCTCCCCAAAGATAACACAGGTCATAAAGTGACATCAAATCATCAAAGATAATAGGGGCCAATAACATGACATCACAATGTGATATCAAATCATCCAAGATAGCAAGGGCCATAATGTGACATCAAATCAAAGATAACAGGAGCCAAAATATGACCTTAGATCATGAAAAATAGCAGGGACCACAATGTGACATCAAATCATGAAGAATAACTTTGTACTTACTTGCCACCAAAGATACATTGTATGTCAATATAATGTCCAATAAGAGCTTTCTGATTTGGTTTGCTATATAACACACTGGGTGCTCTATCTGGAATTGCTGGAACACAGAATACAAATAAAAACCTTTAAAAGATTTGTTTCTTCAAGCAAAATTAGGTCATCTGTTTTGTAGATAATAACAAAGTTTCTCCTAACATATCCTTTGGCAACCTACCTAGATTATGAAATTGGGGTGTAACAGTTATATATTTAAATGCTTGGTTTTTTTTAAAATTGAATAGAAATTGTGACTTCTAGAGGGACCACAATCTAAAAACATGATACAGTCAGATACGTGCGGATATCAAAAAGGAACCAAACATATATTTCAAGTTTGTTCAAAATCGGATAAAAATTGTGACCTGTAGAGTTTCCATAAAGAAATTGAGGACGGATGGACAGACAGGGGGGATGACAATACACGTATATATAAGTCCACATGGAAGTGTGGAGGTATAAAAAGAAACCATTTTCCGTTAAATCAAACTTTACTGCATAATTATCTTATTGGTGTGAAAAGTGTATTTTAAACACTTACGATTTAGTTTCGTAATCTCTAAAATCTTCCCACTGCCTAAATTAACGGAATTAAGATGACGATTAAAAATGGCACATTGATATCTTAATCCAATTAAATCATCATCTTTTGTTACGTAGACGAAATAAAGAGTTCCTGAAAATATATAATAAGATAATAAATTGCATGAAATGGTCACTATTATAATAGTCAGTTTGTTAATGATTGGGATAAATCAGAATAAGCATGCCAGCATTACCTACACATGTTAACCCCTTTCTAGCTTATATGTACATACAGAAATCTTCGAGTTTGTGATGTGGTCACAACAAACAGATGTTTTGTCCTGTAAATTTGGGAACAGGCCAGGCTGATGTCCCCCGCCAAAATCCCAAAATGAATAGAACACACATATTGATTAATTGCAAATTTATTTTTTTCAAAAGTTCTGAGCAATCAAACTGATTATCTATACTAAGTCTAAGCATAAAATATTCATAATCAAACTCAGTCAAGGTTTTGAAGTCAGAATCAAAGTTATCTTATCCCAAAGCATCAACCAATGAAATTGCTTAGCTCTACTTAGCTTTAGTGGGAAATGTTAATCATTGAACTTAGTCAAGACATTCGCCTAATGAACATCTACATCAAGTTTAAACATTCTACCTCAATTAAAAGCAGAGTTGTTATGTTCCAAAGTCTCGACCAATCAAATTGTTTATCGCTTCTTAGCCTAAGCAGAAAGTGCTCATTATTGAACTTAGTCAAGGTATTGATATAATAAAACTATACACCAAGTTTCATCAATCAAATTGCTTATCACTCTGCTTACCCTGAGCAGAAAATGCTCATTATCGAACTTAGTCAAGATATTGATGTAATAAAATTATACACCAAGTTTCATCACCATCATTAAAGTTATCGTGTCCCAAAGCATCAACCAATCAAATTGCTTATCTCTGCTTACCCTAAGCCGAAAATGTTCACCTTCGAACTCCATCAAGGTATTCAACTAATAAAGACCTACACCAAGTTTGAACATTCTACCTCAATTAGGAGAGTTATTGTGTCTCAAAAAGTGTGACGGAGAACAGATGGACAGACCATTATAAAAGTCCTATAAATATAGAGAGCCAGTTGTTGTTTTTGTGGATGCATTCTGATAGTTCTGCATTTTATAAATTTATTATCAAAGCAAACGGCTAAAAATATCATTTGTTTTAAACATTTGAATCCAAAATGGGGGCCTACATGAACAGAAATAACAACTCAAAATTGGATAAAGTTAGTAGTTCATCAGACAGTTGTATGGATTGGTTGTATCGTGTAAACGCCACTATCAACAGTTTCATAATAATCTTCGATATATCTTCTGTCTAAATCCAATCAAAATGTCCAGGCTTTTGCACAAAAGCTACATGATAATAACAGCTTGATTAGTGGACTAAGGTATGGCCTAGATAGTATGTTAGTGAAAATAAAGGGTCACCGTCAATCAGAGGGGCTTAAAATCCACTTTCACCTACATGTAGAGTCACAGTCTGCTGACAATCCATATAGTGTGATGTTTCAATAAACCACAGTTATAGGGAAACTAACTGGGGAGCTTGTCTGTCAACCTGAACATTCCAAACTAATGGAATTACAATCACGGTTACAAATATTTTAGCTATGATACATGTATTAGCATAAACAAGTGGATTATAACACTGTTATCAAGGTGCTTGACGATTTTAGCGACATTTGTGATAAATGAAATGAAATGAAATGAAATGGGGTTTAACGTCCTAATGTTTTGCTCCGAACTGGGCTAATGAAGACGGGCATACGCCATACAGTGTGCTATGAGGGAAATTTTGCCCGGACAGCGGCACTACGGCCTACTCTTATATCGAATTCCAACTGTCAAGGGATCTTTTACGTGCACGCCAATGTGTACACGGGACCTCGGTTTTTTGTCCCATCCGAACGACTAGACAGCTGTCCTTGTCAGCCCCTCCGTCCTGCATCAACATTTGTGATAAGGATCCGAGTATAAGACAGGCGTAGTCAAATCAGTGTTACATGTAGCCGTAGCGTTGTCAATAATAATCTTGCTATGTAGTTCCACTTAACATCCTATATTAACATGTATATGTACCCTCTGCATCTATAGCTATTCTGTCATCCTGTACAACTTCGCTACTTTCGTCGTCACCTTTATACCATTTAAACTGCCCAGGCGGATTACATAAAGGTACATTGTCACATGTCAGCTGAACTGCTTCCCCTTCTGTTGCTTGTATCCTTGGAGGAGGCAGACCTGTGTCCACCCAACTGTTTAGATCTGTAATAGAAGCATAAAATACAGAAACTATTCAAGTTTCAACTTCTCTCTCCTTCAATTAGAATAAAAGTTATTGTGTACAAAGCATTGACAAACAAACCACTTATCCCTGCTTAGCCTCTGTGGAAAAAACCTCTTAATCTTCAAACTCAGCCAAGACTGTCACCTAATAATCATCTACACCAGCAAAATTATTGGGGACAATAATGAGTGTTTACCGGGATTCAGTGAAGGGAATTAACTCTATAAAAAGTGTTTATAAGAAGAATGTCTGAATAAAAAACACTTATGCAATATAATCACCAAATATTTGTCAACTAGGTTAATTAGAATTGGTATCAGGTGTTTTATAGTTATACAGTGGATTCTGTCAAATCTGACATTGTACGGGATCGTTACAATACATGTATGTCGGATTACGTAGAGTGTCGGAATACTAAGTTTTTTTAAAACTGGAAGTATTATTATAACTTCGAAAACCGAAAATATTGTTATAATGTAGCTCCGAATCCCCAGAACGTTATTCCCGTCTATGTAGGTCGTGGAACTTTCTCGAAATCTGCTGTAAGTTACTGCTGGCATCTAATGTCAAGTCCGTTTGGGCATGCTTTGCAGGACGATCCCACATTTTAAACATAATATTGTATAATAATTCTTCTTCATCGCAGCAATTTTTATATAATGTCATCGTATTTGACATGAGAAACTAAAATCGAATACCAAGGGCTCTCTTACAAGAGATTATAAAATTATCAAAGTAATCAACAAAGACGTACGCGAGTGAGTTTTAATCTCACCGATAATTGATTGGTGATTGCTTGTTAATCTTTTGTGGCTTCACACCCACCGATTGAAGGCAGGATTATACAATGTTGATTCCATGGAAATCGTGTGACGGGCTGATTGATGTCGTAATTCGGAATATTCAGAATAAGGATTACTCAAAGTGTTTTTGCCTGAAGTAATAAGGAAATAAATCGGGACATGAAAATCGGATTTCACAGAATGTCTATTATTCAGATGTCGGATGTGACAGAGTCCAATGTACTCTGGTTCATGCACAATACATGTCAGTACATGTTTAAATTGGTTTACGATAACCTTGGGGAGACATGCCACAATTAGTTTATTTTGACTAGATATAGATGTACTTACATGCCAAGTCGACTGTTATGATGGGTGACATGGATTTTATTGTTTTCGTTCCAATTTGATTAGAAGCGAAACATTGGTATTTTCCTGTCTCTCTGCGAGTTAAAGAGGCTATCTGTAGTTCACCAGTAATTGGATCTTGTTTTATAAAGTCACTTACTATAGTCTGACCGTCTTTCATCCATTCATATCTATAAATAAAAACAAAATCTTTCATTTGTCTAGGGTTAAACAACGTTGCTGAAACGTTTGAATCAAGTAAATGTACATGTATGAGTCACCCGAGCAATCAAATTAATCAAGGATGAATTAACTCTTGACAGTAATTATCAGAAATTGTTGAAAATCAGCAGGCTTCTTTATATACAAATATCAAGTCCATCCAAGTTAGGGCCATAACTCAAAACTAATTATCTAGAGCATCGACAATATTTTTCAAATTGATAAATTGTTACAATTCAACAGGATTTTTAACCTCATGAACATAACCACTGTATACAGTTCAAGTTAATAGGATGGTAACTTAAGCATCCACAACCAATAGTGTACAAGGATGACAGAAATATATCACCACATATCAATAAATATTCATGTAGATGTATAAAAATCAAAGACTAGATTACCAATGACAGACACCCCCCCCCCACCACAAGTGTGCTTCACCAATTATGTATTACATCTGTAAAAAAATTTTCTTACTGAGCTTGAGGATTTGCTTCTGCTTGACATACTAATATCACTTCATCCGTGGCTTTGTAATATATTGTTTTCGCGACATCAGGTTCTGTAATCTTCGGAGGTTGAAGTCCTTAATTGACAAACATTCACATTTTTACAAGTTAATTGGACATTACTAAACTACGTTAAAAATACATTAGAGCTTCACCATTTGAATTTGATTTACAGAATTTTTCTCTTCTGAATGTTATTGGCATCAATTTATAAACCCCCGCTCTAAAAACTATGCTTCAGTCGAGATGATGGCGGTCCACTCCTAAAAATATCAAATTGAATCAGATTTAATGTCTGTCAGCTAAAGCCATTTGGAGAGTAATATATAGTAATTTTTGTTTCTTTGATTACGTCTGCAATGCGAGGGGGTGAGGAATGAGTCCACCATCAGTGCAATATGTCTACGTATACCTTCTGTGAACTCCCATTGTACTATTAATTTCAACACGAAATCATGCTTTTGTATGTCATCTAAAGAACAAGACACACTTCTCTATTGATCCCACATTCTAAAGGTTCTAGACAGCCTACGCCAGGATTAAAACATATAATATTTTGGTTTGAGTGTTGTACATGTATTTATCGTAATCAAACAACCATATACACTTTTGTCCAAACTTTTGGAAACCCTCAAATGACGATAAGAGGCGTTAAAGAAGAATTTTATCAGGTATTCTGGAATGAGAGGAGGGTAATGTGAGGGTAGAGATAGGGAAATTGGAATAAAGGGCGGGAAGAGAAATTAGGGGATAGAGCAAATGGTAGGAAACCGGTGTCCTGGGAGAAATATAAGCTTATTAGGGCAGAAAACACACGACTTGGCTCAATGGCAAACCTTATAATAAAAGCAAAATCGACACAGTGCTGTAGCATCATTGATAGAGATTATGGAAATGGTACCACTCACGCAATATTAATGATCTGTGGCTAAACAAAACGTCAAAATAGAGAGGTGATCTGTCTGTTTATAGCTATCAAAACTAAACAATGATAGAAAATCGATTAAATTGGTTTATTTTGTCGAAATTAACTGCTAATCGTGTTTCTAATCGTCCCGATTTAGAATTCTTATTGTTGGTTCCGCCCGTGAGTCACAAACGCTGTGTTTAATTTAGTTTTGTTTTAGAACGGTGAAGTTGATTCGGGCTATTGGTATCTGTTGTTAGAATATAAGAATAAATTGACCACCTTCTTTCGGTCTGCAATATTCATTACACTATCTTTAGTTCTATTATTTCAGAAGACACGCAGTTTACTACGACTGAAAAATGTGTACAGATATTGACTTTACTTCTACAACATGGAGCAGATTATATGGGCTTGGGGGGATATGCCCCCTTTCATATAGCTGTGTTGAAGAATAATTTGGCTGCTGTGAAACTGTTCCTGGAATTCGGTCACCTTGTTAACCATTACTGCCCAGATGACAAAAAACTGTCACGTGAAACAATCCCGGTTCCCGTCAGTCAGTCCCAGAGCTGGGGATACAACACCCCTATCAAGCGAGGAGAAGAGACAGAAGACTGACAGGATGAGAACCACCTGATCCTTGTCAGTGACCCAACAATGGCACTCAACAACAACATCCCATCTGGCATGCGCACAAAAGAGCTCACAACAAAAGTTAAAGTGGAAGGGAGTAACATGAGCTATGTGACCAAGGAGCTCAATAATGCATCGTCAATACAGCCAAGGAAACCATCCCACGATGGGGGGGGGGGAGAACTATACCCCATACTGGACAACACATCGGCAGAAAGCACATGATGAACTAAGTGCAGCAAGAGAAGAATAAAAGTACCACTACAGGAAATGAAAGGCAAAATTCCTCAAAACCAAGCTTGAATCTAAGAGGAAAAGCTGGAGCGAAAAAACTGCAAGCCTTAACTTGGAGAGAGACACCACAGAAGAACTTGACTCCATGCAACACGACCTCACATTGGTTTAACCTACAACATCCATCAAACAAATGAAGAAGAAAAAATCCCTAGGCCCCGATAACATCACACACGAGATGCTGCAACACAGCCCTCAACAAACTACCGAATGTCTTTAACCTGAGCTGGAAGCACGTTCTAGTACCTCAGTGATGGAAGGAAGCCAGGATGATGATCCCAATTCTAAAGAAAGGGAAGAACAAAGCAAAACCAGCTAGCTACCGCCCCATCAGTCTGACAAGCTGCGTATGCAAAACCATGGAGCGCATTGTAAACCAGCGTCTGCAGTGGTACCTTGCCTTCCAAGCCAAGAAGGCCACACTGCAGAAGTGGAAAGACGGACTACTCGTGAAGCTCCTGCGAAGTGGCATCAGCGGCAACATGTACCGGCGGACACTGTGGCCGTAAAGGTTGGGACGATTTACCCAATACTACCCAATACCACCTCAATATCACCACATACTACCCAATACTATAACATAATGATGCAAAATGGACATATCATTTGATTTTTTTTTTCAAAAATAGAAGGTTGTATCGCGGGAAACGTACTTCAAATGCTATGCCGATGTCTGGCTGTTCATTTGCCTCCATATATCACCCAAAACAACCAAATAATAACCCAATACTACCAAATACTCATCAAATACTACCAAATACTACCCAATATAAGCAAATAACAACTTGATTTTGTCAAATAACAGCACATTAGTACAATTACTCCAACGAATATTAGAAATTTTGCAGAAAATTGAAATTTCTGTGCAGTTGTGTTGTGGGATTGGGTAGTATATGGTGATATTGAGATGGTATTGGGTAGTATTGGGTAAATCTTCCAACCGCCGCCGGCCGGAAAGGGCTGCTTCGACAAGGAGTCCCACAAGCGGAAGTACTCTCACCAATCCTTTTCATAAACGATATTGTGCCAGAGCTACCTAAGTGTATGCAAATGAAAAGATCCTCAAAATTGTCTATCAGGGTCAGGGAACGGTAAGACCACATCTGGTGTATGGATCAAGCTAATGGATGACTGCAGTCAAGACACATCAAGAGTATCTTGACAAAGTTCAAAACTAGGCTGTTCGCATCATCACAGGTGCTATGAAATCTAAACCTATAGAAAAGATGGAACAGATAACTGGGATCTCCCACTAAACAAACGAAGAGAAAAGAAAGGTA